AAAAAAAACAGGAAGGGGGCCAACACTTTTTCACACCACTGTATGAATATGTATTATAGCAAATACAATGAAATAGTCCGTTTTCATTTATTTTCATCAAATATTCTACTACTAGTAGTACTAACAATATTGCTTCTGTTGCTTTTATTTGACACCTTACTGTATCACCTTGAAAGTAAACAGCTTAGGTGAAAAAACAACAATAACTTTTAACCTCTTAATTAGCAAGAAAATACAAATTTAAGTATCCTTACGGCAAGTCATTTAAAAGTACTGTGTCCTTACCATGCCTTAATAATGAAAAAATCATGCTAATTTCAAATGTGCACTTGCAATGAATATTCATGCACGGCAATACTTGCATGATATTCCATGGTACAAAAACATGCTATTAACATGGTCATGGGGCTCATGTTTTTAGTATGCATTTTGAAAATAAGGAGGTTTAAAGCCAAACCTTTTCAAAAACTTCAAATAAACACAAGCGCATGCAATAAACTCAAGTTCTAATATGCATAAGTGCCCACTTGAAATAAAGCGATTTGATTTGATTTCAGTTCGCATGTTTTCATTTCATTCTTCATGCTGTTACAAAAATGAACCTGCACTTTGACAGCTTATGGAAAACACATATACTGTAACAGCTGTTATATTAGAATTCAGTTGCTCTAATTAAACATCCGTGATGTGTGATCCGTAATGTTGTTCTCAAGTATTAAAACAGTGTTTTGAATTGCTGAACGTTCCTCTATTTTTTTTTATCCGCATTTCATTTATTCCTAAACGACCTGAAGACGGACAGGTGCATCTTACCGCACGCGACACTGCAGGAGTCCCGGATGGCTTTGTGTTTACTGCCCGATGCCTCCTTCTGAAGCTTTCGCAGAATCTCCTCCATTGCGCTGAAGATGACTGATAGATGTTATGTTGGTACGTGGGATAGAAATGATGGTTTCAGGCCTCCTGCCTTAGGCTCAGCATCCCTACAGTAAAGATGATTCACTTTAACAACACTGATACGTCACACTGTGCGTCAATTATTATTATTATTATTATTATTATTATTATTATTATTAT